AGGCCTACCAGGGAGGTATAAAAATATAAAAATTGTTATACCTCTATGGGCCTACTACTGCTGCTGCTACTACTGCCATACTACTGCTACAAATAATTCCCCTGCTGCTACAGCCACTGATGCTGCTACTCTGTTGCCAGGGGTGGCACTAGCATTTCCCCGGCGGTGGGGGGTCCAAGGTCCCCGATGGGGGAGGGTGGGGGAAGGTGGAAGATTTCCCCGAGGCGGAAGATTTCCCCGAAGAGAGCAAAGTGGGCGTGGTCGAGCGACTCTTAAAATGTTTCGAAAGTTGTCCAGCTGGCGAAAACCCCGAAAAATTTGACAATTTAGGGGTTTCAAAGGCTTATTTAATCGATTTTATAGTCTGCTAATATGTACAAAATGCATATACTGTAATTGTTTTTCTCCCTGACGAATTGTGGGTTTTTTTTCCCCGAGGAAGGAGGGGGGGCTGGCCCAACCCCTGTCTGTTGCTGATGCCACTATTACTACTGCTGCTGCTGGCTATTATTTGTGTTTTCCTGTGGAGTCGAGTTGTATTATCATAATGTCACCAATAGTTCATTATTTTGCCTGAGTTTACAAGCACGCTGGCGATGTTGAATGGTAATTAACGTGTTAATAGGGATTTTGCATCACCTATCTTATTCCGAAGGCAAAGTTGCTCCCGTACCAAGTGTCTTTACGTGCACTCACCCAGCTCTGAATCGACCAGACATTATGTAAGGGTATCGGCGACGGAGCAGGCTTCCACGTGGATGCATTGTTCAGACACGCTTTTCTCAGTCGGCAAGAGGTTCGATCGTGCGTCGTCGTAAACCTTTTTCTATTGCACCAGAAATAACACACCTTATTACCTTTAATGAACTTTAATCCGCAGTCAGGTAGCTTAAAAGTATTTAGCGACTGCATTAATCGTGCAAAAAGAAGTTAGCTTTGTAGTTCTTATACACATCTAGATGTGTATAAGAGACAGTTATCTATTCGAATACCGTTTTAAATGCTACCGGTATATACTGTATTGGTGAATGCAATGTATGGTATAACCCGGGACTTTATACTCGTTTAATAAATCAATAATGTAATAATAGGTATATTTCAATGGTATTTTACTTAACATTGAATGTTGATGTTTAGTTTTTAGCACTTTTTACAAACACATTATATATTTTCGCATTACAAGCTTAGTATCAAAGTCAATCCATTGTTCTTCTAAATAGTAATGGGAATTCGCCCTTAAACCCCTATAGAGAACCTTAGCGATCTCCTAGTCCCAGCAGTTGGAATGAACATTCCCCCTCCCCCTCATACCATCCAAGCTTGGGTTATGGTCATTGGCTGACGCTTCTTGTCAAATTATCTTTTCCCTTTCTTTTCCTTTCATTGTATCACCCCTGGCGCCAACACTGACACTAAGAAAGTACACTGGGCTGAGCAGACTTAAATAAACCACTCAAATCAGTTAACAACTCAATTAAAGACACCATAAAGGGAGTGACATGGATAAGTGCTGCGCACTTTATAGAATACGAATCCCAATTTGTGAATGAAACGTCTTGATTCAAGCGGCTTACACCAGGCCGGGGATTTACCCATTTAACGGTAACGCATGCCGGTAATGAAGATATCGTCCTTGAAAAGATTTTTTTTTAAATATAGAAAGCCGTTAAAGACAATAGTTTAGCGATTAACTCATCTCAAGTGGGTCCATTTAGGCGCTTTTATTTCACAAGCAACGTTCCGCGTCATAATTGTATCAGTGGGCACACAGAAACAAAACAAGAAAAAAAAGATCTTCTAAACTTGTGAATGGTGTCTGCAAATGTGTGCAAGGGGCCCATCGTCTCAGAAACGAACCTCATTAGTAGACAATCGGGACAGTTTAAAAGAAGAATGGTGTGCGTCCGGGGAGTATCTCCGGTTAAGAAAATCAGTTTTATCTATCAATGCTTAATCAACACATAAAAACAAGTATAATGAAATCGAATTAACATTCCAACCGATTGCCCGATCTGAGTGAAAATCTGTACACAGCTGAGGCATAGACCTACACTATCAGATTTGTGATTGTCATAGTCAACCCACTGTGTCTCATAAACACCAGTATGATACCTAGGCCTATACTATATCATTAAAAATATATGTCTGACTTTAGAGTATCTGGTTATGATACTGGTCTGCACATTCAGTCTAATATCAGCCTGACAACAATCTGTTAGGATAGGGGTGTGCGGATCATTAGGATCCTTAGTATCTTTACACCATGATACCTTCGCCACCTCATAATGCATTCTGAAAGGATGGGGTATACAGGTCAGGACATTAGTGAAGTAACATCCCTGCCCAATATGATGAGTTTGGTTAAGATAGGGGTATGCAGATTAAAACAGAACGTTGTCAGTGAAGTATTGCAAAATCACTACATCGGAGTGCAATCCGTAAGGATGGGGGTATACCGGTCAGGACCTTTGTGGAATAACATCGCTAACCCATGATGCATTCGGTTAGGATGGAGTTATGGGGGTCATTAGGATCTTAGTGGAGTACGATATTGTAGCATCACTATCCAATGATGTATTCGGTTAGAATGGGACATGCGACTCATTAGGACTGTATGGGCATTGTAACATCCTCACGCATAGTGCGTTCGGTTAAGAAATGGGTATGTGGGTTGTCAGTACCATTGAGCAATGTCCCTGCCCTATGATGCATTCGGTCAGGATGGAGTATGCGGGTCAAGAACTTCGTGGAGTAACTTCTCTATCCCATGGGGCATAGTTTCGTTAGAACGGGGTATTCGTGTGATGACTTAGTTAGGTTTGAGTATGCGAGTCATTTAGAATCTTATTTGAGTATCGTCTCTATCTAAAGATGCATACAGTATTTGGGTTAGGATGGGGGTGGGGTATGCGGTCATTATGGCTTTAGTGGAGTAAAACTGCTACACCACAATCGGTTAGGATATGGGAATATGAGGGTTATTATTATTTTAATGAAGCAACGTCTATACCCCAAGATGCATTGGCTAGGATGAGGTAGGCGGGTCATTAGCGGATCGACGCCCCTACGATATGATGTATAGCTCGATTGCGATAAGGATTCTATTCGGTTTATTGCTTCATTAACCATCAAGTGTTATTATCTGACAAACATACAAACATACTAAAGGTGTGAAAATACTATATACAATGAAGAGACAAACCTTGATTTTCCTTATACAAGATAAGTGGCTCAAATGTCTGACAAAGTAATATGTGGTGGAACCGTAAGTGAAGAACTAATATCAAAGGAAGAGTGGGAAACAAAGAATGGAATCTTGATAGAACGAAAGAGGAAAACCCAAAGTTTAGAATTTTGTAAAAGGTGGATTGTTGTGGAGAGGTAAAGATATCGGTTTAATGGAATGACACTCAACCACTTGTTGGCGTTGGTTGACATGGCGTAACTAGCTTGCATGTGCGGCATATCGTGTTGGTCTAGGGAATGGACGAGTAGCGAGAGTGTTTCTCATTGAAAAAAAGTATATTAGTTAGGGGATCCTCGAGGGTACACGTATTGGGAAACCCCTGATGCATTTGAACATGGGTAGACCTATACAGCGTGCGGTCTTTCTAGGGATACCTTCTGGGTTACGTGTAAGGTAAGAATTGTCCTAAATTGGTCCATAGTGTACGTACTTAACCAAACATCACAACGTTTCTATTTTCTATTAAAATGTAGTATTACTGTAAGTTCCCCGGTAACAATTTTATATCGAAATAAAGTCCGCCCTCTGTCGTCATTGGATTATTTCCAGTTAAGTAATCAAGATAAACATTTGTCTTCCTATTGTCTGAGACTTAGTCAACTAAACTAAATTAATCATTCACCAAAACAAACATCGTTACCGGAATGATCTGCTAAATAGTCCACATAAAACAAGCTCATAAACCAACACTTTTATTTGGGTTTGTTAATGATTTCATCTAGTAAAACTTGCGGATGCATTTACCTTCATTAGTAAGAATGGTTTCTGTAATTTATCTTGAGTTTTGCTGGATGAGTGCAAACTTATTAAATCTTTGTACAAATATTAACACTTTTTCAAACTGAACTAAACACATAAAACAAGCTCATAAACCAAAACTTTTATTTGGGTTTGTTAAAATATGCGGATGAATTTACCTTCATTAGTAAGAATCAGTTTTGCTGGATGAGTGCAAACTTATTAGATCATTGTACAAATATTAACACTTTTTCAACTGAACTAAACTTTATTACAAATAAACAAATTAACATAGGCCTAATTATGCACAAATTAATAATGTATAATTGTGTTATAATTTAAATAATATAAAACTTACACCACTCAGAATAACACTTAGGCCTACGTGATATACGGTACTGTACTTAAAATTGTTTGAAAATTGAAATTTTGGGGATTTATTACAACGAGGTAGAATGGAATAGAATCGCGTCATAACAACTATAATTTGTAATGTGTTGTGCCCGGTTATTGAACTTGTATTTTACCTTCATAACCAACAAGTTCAAGTCGGAGCTAAGCCACATAACCCCCATTACCGTCGTATATGGTAGACAACGATTGCACCCCAGCTTTGGAAGCAAATGTTCCGAGATTACGAGTTTCCTGCATGGTGCAAAAATATAAGATGAGAGGTGAGGTTAGTTCGGGTTACTTAGCACAGTACGCACGTGGAGTACTAGTAACAATCAACCAAGTACTTCACAAATAACCCGAGGCAGATCGTTTTCCACAGGACGCCTAACCTTCTGACTGAATGCTTCTGAATGACAGGCCATAGAACGCCACAAAAAACGATTACAGAACAATCGGTAGCTATTGATATTGAAATAAACCAAATAGGCGATGCTGGGACGCGAGCCTGTTCACCAGTAAACGTCCCCAGTTAACGGTGTGCCACGCGAACGGTGTACGGTGATTGGTCAATAGGTACAAAGGGGCGGAGCTTCATGGTTCGGCACGCTTTTGTCGCACCTGAATACTCCAAAATGCCTTTATTAACCGAAGATCTGAGTAAGAGTTACTTAAACACACTCAAACTTCAACAAGTTAACTTAGCTCTCACCTCCGAAACATCCCAACGGGGAATCAAAGATATTATAATGGATATGGATAATTCGACAGTAAAACTTCTTGCAGCAAGTTGTAAATTCTTGGCAATGAATGCAACAAGGCGACCGACAACTGCAAAGAGGTTGCAGAATCCAGAACCACATCATTCCGAGTTGGTGCGATGTAAGCGAAGACTCAACTACGGAGGAATTAACTACACGATGTCACACCAGCAAACGGCATCAGTAGCCCGGAGAAATGAGCGAGAACGAAACCGAGTGAAACTCGTCAACTCTGGGTTCGACACACTGCGGCAGCAACTTCCGAACGGTGTGGAGACGAAGAAAATGAGCAAAGTAGAGACACTGCGATCAGCCGTCGAATATATCAGACAACTTCAACAGTTGCTAGACGAAAATGACGCCGTCAACGCCGTTTTTAATTCGTCCACGGCATCACCGACAGATTCGTCCGTAGGCAGTGCATCGCCGGCACATTCGTACGTTTCAGATCACGAAACGGGACCGTTAACGCCAGAAGAAGAGGAACTGATGAGCTTTGCAAGTTCTTGGTTTTGAACAATTTCGATTCCCTCCCAAGGTAAACACGAATTTCAATACTTATAACAATAGGCATAAACTTATAAAAAGAAGTATTGAAAACCTCATAATTCTATTACGAAATCCTAAACCTATTGCATTAAACGTTATAATTAAAGTTATAGATTATCTCACTTACTTCATAAATTTATGTTCAGAAAGAAGGAAATTTTGAAAGCAAAACGTTTGTATACTTAATCCGTTAGAAGTGCATTATCCAAATTTATCAGTGTAGAAAATTGAAAAATTGGTTCATGATTTGAACGAAAACAAATTTGTTTCAGCGGATGCTTTGTAATATTTAATTGGTTGATTAGGCATGTAAATAGGGCCTACTGTGACGGGCTACTTAAACGAAAGTGGGTTCTGGAATTTACACATTCGTTTCCCAATTATAGATTGATTTAAATTTTTGTTGAAAAAAAAATGGCATATTCCAATTTCTAAAAATATAGTAATTTCCCATAAAAATATATTTTTATTGAAATATGAATACGCTTAAATTACAATTTGTTTCTTGAATTTATACAATTATTCTGAAACTTAATATTTTTCTAATGTTTTCTTTGTTAACAGGAAAAGTTTGTGTAGTCCGAGGCAAGAAGTAGTGCGTACTCGATGCTGTGGGCGTGGCTTACGTAGATCGACGTTGCACGTACATTACGAGGTGGGTGTGGCCTACTGAGTCCCAGCGATCACATGAGGTAGTTGATCGAAGGGGACAAAGCCATGACAGGCCAAAGAAGATAGATGGTCGGCCAATCAGATTCAGCCAAGCGAACAAAGAACTTAAACAACTCTCGTACAAGTTCTGCTATTGTTACGCGCGGTTTTATTATGATTTGAAATAAGTTTTCAGCTAGAAAATAAATCTAGCTGGAAGAAGTTAATGAATATATCATTTTTGGCAACTGTTAACTCTCTCAAAGCTAGTAGTTGCATTTTATGTAGCGATGTATTGTAAATAATTACGGACGAAATTTGTGCTACAAAGAATAAATGTTTTATGTTTGTATTATTTCTTACTTTACTCTTATAAGGAGCTGTTCAACTCCCGCGTTTGGGGTGTTCTGTTTAAATTAAGTGCTGATTCACATTTGGCTTAGGCCAATGTTATATTTGTTTTTCCTTAAGTACATTAAGCCTCTGTACCACAAAATATGCCTAGGCGGTTTGTTTTGTAAATTTATAAAGTTGAATGCTCTATGCAAATTGTACTATTCAATGATTTTTCTTCCACACTGCTCTTCTGGAGCAAATCTTTAAAATCTTTTATATTCTCATGTTAGTTGTTGTTGATCTAAATTAATTCATTTTTGTAAATAATGTACATAATAGTAGATTATTTTGCTATTTCTATACACGATCTCAAAAGCGATCGTTTAAATTTTAGATTTGAACTTTAACAGAGGTCGTCCTTAATGTTATATCTGCATTCTTTTAACTTTTCTATTGGATTAAATCTAAAAACTCTACTGCGGGCGGGTATTGAACAAAAGAATTTAATCGCTGAATCGTCACATTTTTGTATTTTGATACACAATCAAAGATAATAAATTTTATAAGAAATATAGTAAAATATCGTCTCTCCTTTCTTGACTGTTTGGTGCAAGCGTGGTGGGTTTTCAGAGAAAAGAATTCAAACTAAGGAATTCACTTCGACTTCCGTTGCTACTGAAATTGTACGGTATGCTTTGATGTGAGTTTCGTTGTGTGTGTGTCTGAAGATAAATTGTCTGCTAAACTTGTTGATAAATGTATCCTGCTATACCATCCAGACAGAATACACTATACTTAACAGTTATGGCAGCCTGATAATATGAATTTTATTGTGTTAACCATACTTCGTTTAAAAAAATATGATAATTCTGTAAACATTCATATTTTCATTTAATTTCGTCATAAATAACAGTAAAATTACATTCTCTGAGAAAGCGACATAGATAACAGCGAACAAGGAGTGCAAAATGAAAAAAAAAAAACGTCTCACAGGATTTCCGTAATACAAACCTAGTTGCCGCTGGTGGCTATTCGAAGTTGACACAAAATCAGCTGGACTAGGCCTATATACCGTACATTTTACAAAATAAAATATATTAAATATGAAATTCGCACCTGTGCATTAATAAATAATACGACTATAAAAGTTTTAAATAGACATTAAACAAAATTAAATTACCGGTATTTTAATTTATGCCGTAGTTATAATAAAAAAAAATCACAAGTGGTACCTCATTTATTCCCCTAATTTAGTCGAGCTCTTTACGCCGCTAGCATTGAATTGAAGTTGACCGCCGAGAATAATACACTACAGCAGCAAACACAATATTAACGAGACTAAACTAATAATCTTGAATTTATTGAAATTCAATTTATCGGCATGTACATTCAATAAAAACTTGAAGGCCTTCAAAAGCTGATATTCACTGAGACTATAAGTTTCAATCAAGGAGGTGGTTCAACCTTCTTAGCCCTATAAAACACTAGCTGGTGTGTTAAAAACGCCTATATTCTACCCATTTATTTATTTAAAATTTGTTTGAACTGGTATTAATAAAAACAGTTTCGCTAGTGACAAAGAACAGTTTTTCACACTTTTTTGACTGTAGCTGGAGGTAGCCATGCTATAATACTAATTATGGAAGAATACAATATTTCAACGAATTCACATCGATCGGTAAAATTGTGCAAACAATTAACCTGGTTACTAAATCATTAAGAAACAATCGATAATATATCTTTTGGCGCCAACCCGTGTGTATGTGTATTGTTGCATTGTTTGTTGTTGGGCTAGGTACCGACAATGCGAAGAAGTCAAGAAAGAGATGAGCGGCGCTCGTCGTCTAATAAATTACAACCGCACTGAACTAAATAATTAAACTTTTTTATAAGAACCAGTAAAATTTTGCCCAGGCTCAGTGTTCTTATTTTTTTGCCGATTTTTTAAAACATTTTCACCATCATTATCTTTGCCACTTCGGGTTAAATTTTCTAAGTATAGACCTCTAATTGTTTTTGTTTTATTTTTTTAGCTTGGCCACAACTTTACTAGCGTTATATATTTATTTTTATTTATATATTTATTCATATTTTGAATATAATAATTATCATTAAGCCGGTCACGGTACATTAATTACGTACAGTACAGTTAAGGTGTTTTTTTTTCCAACGATATTACCGTACTTCAACAATAATGGAAGTTTAATCAAAAACTGTTATTACTGTTTGTCTCCATCTTCTGTTAATTTTTAGTTTAGAGACCTACGGTACTAAATAAATAGTAGCCGTGGATCATTATCGGGTTGTTGTTATCGACATAGCCTCAACGATCACTGCTAGTTCACTGTCAACAAACATGCTTAGTAGTACTGCGGAGAAATTTAACATGACCACTGGCTGTTAATCTCCATGAGAGTCTCGTGGACATGACTTATTGACTCGTGATTAAGAGAAAGCAAATAAGAAGAGAAAATAAAGGTTGTTAATAATAGGTATATGATTTGAATCTATAATTGGCTTCATGCCAACAAATTTATGAATTACTGAATAGATTATCATTATTGTTTTGTGGTGAATACAATGACCTTTACCCGGTGGATTATTTTTTCTACCTCTCCATACAAAAACTCTCCCGTGACAAGTAGGCCTATTTCACAGACTAAATGGTCCGTTGAATGTCGCATGCCTAGTTCTTTTCGTTTAATTTGTTAGCTGACAACCGTTTTCTTTGTGGGATTTCAATTGAAGCTGCTCTTCACTAGCCTCATCCACTCTTCACTTTTTCGTTGAAATTTGTTTAAATATTATTTGAGCGGTTAGGGTTTATTTTTTTTTTTTTTTTTTTTTTTTTTTTTTTTTTTTTTTT